GCGTGTTTCCATCTTCTCAGCGAACTATAATTCTGTTTCTTTTTCTTTAGTAAAAGTGTCTGTTTCTTCACTTATCTAGTTTTATATCATTTACTTGTTTATCTGATCGTGTGTTTCCTTTCCTATCTATCACTTTACATGAATATTCATTTGTTCACTTATTGACTTATTCATTATAGTCAATCATTCAGAAAATAGAACACATATCATATATCTCATTATTACTGTTTTAATTAAACCCTCCTCTTTCTCCTCCCCCTCCTCCCACCCCCTCCCGTCCCCCAAACACATTTTCCACCCCCACCCCCCCTCGAGGGACTTCCGGTCTGTCAATTAATATTAAAACTACGCCAATCATCCATCGCATGTCGCACTCTTTGGCGGCAGCTTCGGCCAGAGTGCGTGAGAGTGTGCGCCTGTTTTTCGTTTGTGTGTCTGTGTGTAGAGGTGTGTGTGTGTGTGCGTGTGTGTGTCTATGTGTATAGGTGTGTGTATGTGTGTGTGCGTGCGTGCGTGTGTGTGTGTGTGTGTGTGTGTGTGTGTGTGTGTGTGTGTGTGTGTGTGTGTGTGTGTGTGTAAGCGTGTATGTGTCTTTAAGTTGAGCAATGTGTAGAGTGTGTTGTGAGTGTGTGCATGCGTGTCTATTTGTATAGGTATGTGTGCGTGTGTGTGTGTGTGTGTGTGTGTGTGTGTGTGTGTGTGTGTGTGTGTGTGTGTGTGTGTGTGTGTGTGTGTGTGTTAATGTATATGTACGTGTCTACGCGTGCATGTGTATGTCTGTCTGTGTCCGAATGTGTCTGCATGTATACGTGGACGTATATATGTACGTTTGCGTGTGTGTGGTGAAGGGGGGGGGGAGGAAGGATAGGAGGGCAGAATGGCTGACTACCATTATCACTGGACCTTAACTTGCATTTTGGGTTAATTAAGAACGCATTTATTAATCCTAATAAGGCCATTGATGATAAAAGAGCATTAGGGAGAACGGGGGGAGAGGGAGTGAGAGGGTGGGGAGAGAGAGGGGTGCGAGCTGTACGACAACTGCCAGTGGTCAAGCTCGTACGTCATTCCTCGGTCGAACGTCTGGCAGCTCGGTGTATGTTTTAGCCACACTCTGTTTATTTGTAACAATTAGGGAGACTGTAAATCATGGCGCAAATTGGCCCTGAGCACGGAGAGCTCTGGCTATAAGGACCATCTTTGCCCAGTAATAAGAAAGAAATACATGTGTGGTTTATCCATTAGCCGGCAATTCTAGATTATTATTATTCACTTTGCCGCTATCGATGGCA